TTTTTTTTTTTTTTTTGAGACAGAGTTTCACTCTGTTGTCCAGGCTAGAGTGCAGTGGTCATGGTCATAGCTAACTGCAGCACAGACACTCCTGGGCTTGAGTGATTCTCTCACATCAGCCTCCTGGATAGCCAACCCACCATGCCCAGCTACTTTTTTTTTCTTTTTTAATTTTTATAGAAATGAGGTCTCACCATATTGCCCAAGCTGGTCTTTAACTCCTGGGCTCAAGCAATCCTTCAGCCCTCAGCCTCCAAAAGTGCTGGAAATAACAGGTGTCAGCCACCAAGCCCAGCCTTATAAGATATATTTACAATTATCTCACCTACCAACTAATAATCCTTGCTCTATCACAATGAGATCTTTAGGAAATGTAAACACCTATAATATGTAGCAAAAGAATGTAATTAAGGAAAACAATGCTAAAAACAGGCAACAATGTGTAACAGAGCAAAAATAATTAAAGACTTTGCTTTTGTAGATTATTTGTGTCCCTGGTTATCCTACATTAACCCCAAAAGCTAAAAACAACCTATATGATACATCACAAATGCAGGAGCTTGGCCTGGTGCAGTGGCTCATGCCTGTAATCCCAACACTTTGGGAGGCTAAGGCGGGCAGATCACCTGAGGTCAGGAGTTCGAGACCCGCCTGGCCAACATGGCAAAACCCTCTCTCTACCAAAAATACAAAAAGCAGACAGGCGTGGTGGTGCACACCTGTAGTCCCAGCTACTCGGGAGGCTGAGGTTCAAGGAGAATTCAAGGAGAATCTCTTGAACCCGGGAGGTGGAGGTTGCAGTGAGCTGAGATCGTGCCACTGCACTCTAGCCTAGGTGACAGAGCGAGACTCCCTCTCAAAACAAAACAAAACAAAACAAAACAAAACAAAAAACACAGGAGCTTGTGTACAGTTACTTATCTTTCTTGGATTTTAAAATTTTAATTAATGAATGAGTACCATCCTTCCCACTAGCTTTACTAAAAGGTATTAACTTGAATCTTAAACTCGGCTGATTAAAAACTGTTTTTTTAAAAAGGTACTAAAACAAACTCACAGATCAAAGCCATTGGGAATTATGTAAGAGTCCCACCACTCAATTTCAGGAATATCTCCTTCCTTTAGCTCCTTCTTAGGAGCTATGAGGGCAAGCCTAGTCGAAGTATGGATGCCTGTTTTTCGAGCTGCTTGTGAAATCTCTGCCTGCAGCTTCTCCAGTTGAGCCTAAAAACAAGATAATCCAAGACAGAAAGATAAATTGGAATCATAGAAAACAGAATTTGTAGAATCTCATTTTTTTTTTTTTCTTTGAGATGGAGTTTCGTTCTGTTGCCCAGGCTGGAGTACAATGGCATGGTCTTGGCTAACAGCAACCTCCGCCTCCCAGGTTCAAGCCATTCTCCTGCCTAAGCCTCCGGAGTAGCTGGGATTACAAGCATGCGCCCCCAACTCCAGCTAATTTTGTATTTTTAGTAGAGATGGGGTTTCTCCATGTTGGTCAGCCTGGTCTCAAACTCCCGACCTCAGGTGATCTGCCTGCCTCGGCCTCCCAAAGTGCTGGGATTACAGGCATGAGCCACTGTGCAGGGCCAGATTCCCAATTTTTTTTTTTTTTTTTGAGACGGAGTCTCGCTCTGTCACCCAGGCTGGAGTGCAGTGGCGCCATCTTGGCTCACTATAAGCTCCACCTCCCAGGTTCACGCCATTCTCCTGCCTCAGCCTCCCGAGTAGCTGGGACTACAGGCATCTGCCATCACGCCCGGCTAATTATTTTGTATTTTTAGTAGAGTAGGAGTTTCGTGTTAGCCAGGATGGTCTCAATTTCCTGACCTCGTGATCCGCCCACCTCGGCCTCCCAAAGTGCTGGGATTATAGGCATGAGTCATGACGCCTGGCCAATAATCCCCAATTTTAAAACATTTTCCCTTTGAACTCTTTACACCTAATGCAACAAATTCATTCTGAAAGTTTAGAAAGGAGTTGTTCTGCTTTATTTTATCCTTTATTTAGTTCATTTACATAGATCCTCACCTTCACCCTCTCCCTTCACTCCACAGTATATGCCTGCAGTAAATACACAGAAATAGAATTTTATGAAAACCTCACTCTGAGAAGATAAAAAGAAAGCAAAGGTCATTCAATATACAATCAATTCAACTCTCCAGGTGTACTGTCTGCAGGAAATTTTAACTCCAGGCAAGTCTTCCTTAGTCAGTCAGAATGTTTCAAATTGTTTCCCTCCACTTAGTTGTATGTGGAGAATTTTCAAACTCAATTTAATATTTCCACTTATGTAGAAACTAATTAGGAAGTAAAATCTGCTTAAAATTTTTTTTTTGAGACGGAGTTTCGCTCTTTCGCTCAGGCAGGAGTGTAGTAACGCGATCTCGGCTCACTGCAACCTCCACCTTCCAATTGCAAGTGATTCTCCTGCCTCAGCCTCCTAAGTAGTTAGGATTACAGGTGCCCGCCACCACGCTCGGCTAATTTTTGTATTTTTAGTAGAGATGGGGTTTCACCATGTCGGGCAGGCTGGTCTTGAACACCTGACCTTGTGATACACCCACCTCGGCCTCCCAAAGCGCTGGGATTATAGGCTTGAGCCACCTCGTCCTGCATATTTTCAAATTATTCATTGCTTTAAATCAGGGGTCCCCAACCCACCAGTCTGTGGCCTTTTAGGAACTGGGCTGTACAGCAGGAGGTGAGCAGGAGGCAAACCAACAAAGTTTCATCTGTACTTACAATTGCTCCCTATTACCTGCATTATGGTCTGAGCTCCACCTCCTGTCAGATCCGCGGTGGCATTAGATTCTCATAGGAGAGTGAACCCTATTGTGAACTGCACATGCGAGGGGGCTGTGTTGCACATTCCTTATGAGAATCTAATGCCTGATGATCTGTCACTGTCTCCCATCACACCCAGATGGGACAGTCTCGGCAGGAAAACAAACTCAAGGCTCCCAATGATTTTAGATTATGGTGAGTTATATAATTATTTCATCATATATTAAAATAAAATAATAATAGAAGTCAGCACAGTGGCTCACGCCTGTAATCCCAGCACTTTGGGAGGTCAA